TTTTCAATCGGACACACCACTCACAGCCGATGTCTAGGAATTTTCTAATGAGCCATCTATCAAAAATTTTTTTATTTAATCGACCAATCGGCAATGTGTCTGATTGAACCTCATCCTAAAATTCGAGTGACATCTGATTGACCACTAGCCACTCACAGCGCTTGAACAGTGGAAAAATTCTAGACACTGGCCCCTGAGTGGCTAGTGGTCAATCGAGACGTGGTCAACGGGTGTCACCCTAAAATTCGTGTGTCGTATATATAGCATATATATATGGGACTTTTATGCGCATGTCCATTTACTTCATACGCATGCACATGTGTTTTTGTACATGCTTTTCGGGGTCATGTATTTGAACACCGATGAGATATTATTAAAGACCGACAATCGTGGGTAAATTTTCGTCATCACTAAAGGAGCCTCGGGAGCCCGGGGATAATTGAAGAACATTGATATTACCGGTTTTGACTGTTCCGTAGATAAATTAATGAAGATATAACTGTGATAAAATGGATATGAAAGATAAAACAGGAATTATCATATGAGTTAAATTAGAAAATATTTTACCTATAAGAAAATATTTTATAATTTCTTTAATATTTAAATTTGTTTATTTAATTAACAATTATATAAAAATATATACACTGACATATATTAAATAAAATTATGTATGTATTGTATAATTATTATAAAGGTAATAAATTGTTATTTTGATCAAAATATGTGACATTTATAAAAAAAAAAGATTCTATTACTTTCTCCTTACTGCACTTGTACTCCTTTTATATATACTCTGTCAATATATTATAATATATTACTTTGTCACTCTGGTGCTATATTTTATCTACTTTATTTTGCCACAATTACAATAATGTTATTAATGATTTTATATTTATGATTTTTTAATTATTTTTTTATTCTATTATTATTTTTTTGTAAATAAGTGAAATTATATAATAAGAAAAATATACGTATAAATTATAATATTTTATATACAATTATATGTATATATGTTCTCATTTATATATAAACAATTAATTTTTGCTGGAAAAGTAATAAGTTAAAACATTAAATTATTATTTTTCTAAAGCTTAATGGAAACAGTATTAATTAATTATTACTTATTATTAGTTGGTCGAATCAGTAATCGGTCTTGCCTTATAACTTAACAAATACTTAACAAAAAGTAACTTTATTATAGTGTTTTGGAAAGCTCTCGAGATAAGCTATAAGAATATGTAATAAAAAAATAGGGGTTTCCCTTAAAAAAACATTAATGACCTTGATCTGATTTTGACAAGGTCACTCAAAGTCAAGTCCACATTTCCATCATGTGTCTCCCTTCAAGCCATGCAACTTTCGTTCGAAACATTTTTCAATAAAATCATCGATTCGCGAGATAATTGACCATATAATTTAAAATGAAATACCCTCTATATATATATATATATCTCAATATACTATTGTATAATTGAAACAAAGATCTTGATTATTAAAACAAAAGCATAACATAGTTGCTGATTTTTTAGGATACTTGAACATTTAATTAACACCTCTTTAATGTGGCAAAATATTTGAAATCGATAGTTTTGTAATTTTATAACAAAAAATGTATTAAAATAAAAAGTTAAAGAATTAATAATAAAGTATTCCTAAAGAATGTATTAATATTTAATGAAAATATATCCAAAGTTTATTTTCTATCTATTAATAAATTATATAATATCTTATATGTTAAATAAAAATTTTTAATTCTAATTTTTCTTCTCGTATTATTTCTTCTTAATGTTAAGTGTTATTATATATCTTTAACAGCTTGAAGCGTTATGGTAGCTAATCAGTACGGTTGT